CAGCCCATGTCTTCCCTTCCCCTTCCAGCCCATGTCTTCCTTCAGCCCATGTCTTCCCCCCAGCCCATGTGTCTTCCCTTCAGCCATGTCTTCCATGTCTTCCCCCAGGTCTTCTGTCTTCCCCCTAGCCCATGTCTTCCCACTTCAGCCCATGTCTTCCCCATGTCTTCCCCCAGCCCTGTAGCCCATGTCTTTCAACCTCCTCAGCTATTCTGGTACTACTGTGGTCGCTCTTATCCCAGAAGGATATCTATAGGCACGTACCAGAGAGAGAGAGAGAGAGAGAGAGAGAGAGAGAGTGTGGGTGTGTGTGTGTGGGTGTGTGTGTGGGTGTCTTCAAGTGGGTGAATATATACAGTTACCATGCGGAGAATAAAGACAAGACGAAAGATAGATAGAATAGAAATAGAATAGGGATAAATAGTGATAAAAAGTGGTTAGGATAATGCTCTTACTTTGAACAAACGATGGCGTCATTATTCATTGTATTCATATTTTTCATTTTGTAAAATACGGATTAAAATCACCAGTTATCTCTTCCACAAGGTATAAAACATAAATAAATACTGATCTAGTTGTTATATTATTTAAGGTCAAAGGTCACGGGGTCATTTATTACCCAATTTTAAAGATAGACTCTGGTTTATAGCTGATCCCCCCCCCCCTCTCTCTCTCTCTCTCCTAAATCCTCTTCCTGCCCTCACTCCCACCTTCCCCTGATCCCTCATTTCTCTCCCTCTCCTAATTCCCATCCTCCTCACCCCTCACCCCCTCACCCCTTTTCTCCCAGTTGTCACTCACCAATTACTCGACCATTAAAGGGAGAGTCGGATGGTTTCTCGGCTGCAAGAAAACGTTCCATCAGATAATTCATGAAAGACTGTCCTGGTACAAGTTATATATATACTATTACAGAATTATTGGACTTGTAAATACAGAAATAACAGTATAATTACAGGTACAGGCACAGTTGCGTTCGGGGCAGTGTGGATACAGCATAATGCAGTCAATGTTTTGGTTTTAGTACACAATATGGCCGACACTGCACCTGATTGCTTTCATTTCTTAATCTGTAAAGTTAAGAACCCTTTCTCAGCTGGGTAAATTAGACGTGAACCAACTACTTATAGGACACAAGACGAGTGTTGTATCCACTCAGCAGCCGTATCCTCGACCGTACCCCTGACCGTACCACCGACCGTACCACCGATCGTACCCCCGAGTGAAAACAAATACACTAAAAGTATCAATTTCACTCACGTCAAAACCGTCCATCATTTGACTATTTCTCTGAAGTCTCGTTACTCTCCTTGTCTCTACAGAAAACAAACACAAAACACAACACAAAACACAACACAAATATAACAGAACACAAAAGTTGAACAATTTCACCTAAACATCACACACCTGAATTCAAGAAGTCCAGTCATTTCGTGTCACACTCAACGCCACCTACTAGAAAGAGAACTGGCTACGGTCTCACTGTGTGTTTGTAAAGGTATAATACGATGATATATTTTGGAGATTGAACATAAAGTAAAGCAACACAGTCAGGTTAGGTTAGGGTAGGTTAGGTTAGGTTAGGTTAGGTTAGGGTAGGTTAGGTTAGGGTAGGTTAGGTTGAAGAATTGTAGTTCTTTCTTTCTTTCTTTCTTTCTTTCTTTCTTTCCTTCCTTCTTTCTTTCTTTCTTTCTTTCTTTTTCGTGACCCCCATCTTGTGTGTTTCTCGTGACCGCCATCTTGTGTTTCTCATTACCGTTAAGGGAAGTGTTGCCTCTCGAGTGTGCAGTAAACTCTCTCAATACCGGATTAATTCTTGTAAACCCTGTCCGTTATTGGGAGGATTCTGTTATTGAGAATATCCTCAATTGAGAAGTCCGTTATTGAGAGGGTTTAGGGTAATCACAACTTGGTATTGAACAATATGACTCAACTGACGAATGATTTTGACAACCCAACTGAGACAACAGGAGACACAGTGTTCATTGTGAAATTCATTAATGTGACCCGAAATTTTGCCATTAAATGAATTATGTTTATGATGGAGCAACAAAAACAACTTAATGGTGTACAAGATAGTGTTATTATTTCCCGTTACTGAGTGTATGAATTGATTTGTTTTGTTTAATTTACATAGCGAGAGATAATTTCAGTTAATGTGTGTGTGTGTGTGTGTGTGTGTGTGTGTGATAATAATAATAATAATAATAATAAACGGTTTATTAATAGAGTTGTAGCCGGTGGCTGAAAATATACAGACTTACATTTGATTTAGACATAATGATATAATATGCATTGAATACATTTACAGGGCTGTACAGTACATAAATCAGGAGTTGTTTATTATTTTAACAATAGATGGGATGGTGCTGTTCTTATATCTATCGGTGCGGGCTCTTATGGGCTGAATTTTGTTGTAGTGGCGGACTGCGCGAGTTGGGTGGGGGGCTGCAGGTGGCAGGAGGTGGCGATGACGAGGGTGGTGCAGTAGTCCACGGCCAAACCTTTCCAGTGCTTGGTGGTGGAGGTCACTGAGGGATGGCATTTCCAGGGTGGAGAGAGCGTTGGTGTAGCCGGAGTATTCTGCGCCGAGCATGATTCTGCAGGCCCTTTTCTGTACCTTCTCTAGCTGACGTTGTTGGGTGGAGTTGAGAGAAGACGACCAGGCTGGTGACGCATATGTAAGTTTGGGGAGAATAAAAGCGTTGTAGATGGTCCTCAGCTCTGGCGTGGGTGTCCCAAGTGACCTAAGTCTTCGTAGCATGTAGAGACGGTACGAGGCTTCCTTGACTGTGTGTGTGTGTGTGTGTGTGTGTGTGTGTGTTTTAATATTGACATTAGATAATTGGAAAGTAGAAGTTCTTAAACTTTCTCAGATTACTTCCAGGTTGACAGATTGAAGATTTTTGATTGGAAATGAAAAGTATCCAATCCTCCCGTAATTGATTACCTGGTGGAGATAGTTTACAGGTGTGATTAGTGTGAAATGACATACAGACAGATAAGGCTATTGAGTATAACCTTTCAATATTTGTGGCGAAGCATAACAAAAGTCACTCATTTGATTCAAGTTATAGTGGATCTTTATTTTGCTCTGATTTTTTATTTATCTATTTAATTTTTTTTTTACGAGAGATGAATCAGCCAACCAGCTCTCATATCTATGTTGTGATTGGTCGGCTAAATTATAACATGGATTAGACAAACTGACCTATGATGACCTCTTTTGACCTTTTTTGACCTTGTTTATATTAGCAATTGACCTTTGCCCGGTGGTATTTGGGGCACGCGACCCTAATGTGGTTAACAGGTCATTGGTAACCATCAGCTGTACATTAATTATCACATTGGTATAATCTACTCTGGTACAATGGGACGCTGGTACTGGTCTGACGTTAGTTGATTTGCATTTGTATAAACTAGAGTCGGTGTTCTACCCTCCCCTCCCCTCCCCTCCTCCTCCCCCTCCCTCCTCCTCCCTCCCCTCATCCCTTCCATGACACAACAACAACATCCTATCCCTCCTCCCTCCCTCCCCTCTCCTACCATGACTCAATGATAACACCTTCCTCCCCTCCCCCTGCCATGACCATACTATCCTCCCCTCCTCCCCACAACCCCTGCCGTTTCTCAACTACCAATCCCTTGCCTCACCTTCAACCTCCCTCCCTTCCCTTCATCCCTCACTTTTATCCCTCATCCTCCCATCATCTCTCACCCACATCCCTCCCCTCCCCTTATCCCTCACCCTCTTCCTTCACCCTGACCTCTCCCCTCATCCTAACCATCCCAGAAGTCACCAAACTGTTAACAATGATAGGTTGTCTTCGCCTCACCTCACCTCACCTCACCTCACCTCACCTCACCTCACCTCACCTTCATTTTATTCCTCTTCCAGGTGTGACCTCTGACCCCAGTAGACAGTTGGCTAAAAGACACAAAAGACAGGAAATAGACAAGTTTACCTCCCACTTATGTCTGCGGTTTGTATGTTATACTAGGTGCCCGTATAAAGGGGTTTCTTCTACAGGTGACGACACATTATAACGAGGTCCATGTGGGCTAAATGATTAAATAAACTACATATATCTAATCCATAGTTCATACAGGAAGCAACTTTAATCATTATCATGGGGCTTGAGAGGCACACCTGATCCGATGTTGAATCTCTTCATTGATGTCCGTGGTGGTGGACAGGTGGGGGGCCAAGGTACTGAAAGTGGGTAACTTAAGTGGGAGTAGTACAGTTAACCGGGATGGATGGTGGAGGTGTGGCTGTAATTAAAAACACCATCACCTGTAATAAAAACCTAACACCTGTAATTAAAAATGCCAACACCTGCAATTAAAACTAACAACACCTGCAATTTAACACATCAACAATTGCAATTAAAAAGAACACCTATAAACAAAAACACAATCACCTGTAATTAAAAAGAACACCTGTAAACAAAAACACAAACACCTGTAATTAAAAAGAACACCTATAAACAAAAACACCAACATCTGTAATTAAAAACGGTACTGTGGCGTAGGGATGTGACACCAGGAAAGTGACTGTAAACCTTGCCCATCTCACACACACACACACACCCCTCCACTCCCCCAGGTCCTCTTCCCCTTCTAATCTACCCTCCTCCTCCTCCCCTCTCTCCCCACTCCCCCTCCCCACGTGTATATAATCACCTCAGGCAATTTTTTTCACAGTGTTTCGTTCGCCTTTCCTTCCTCTTCTACGACACACGAGTCAGGGCTTTTGCTCAATACTCCCTGATCACGTGTACACATTTCGACATTCATTTCTCTTATGTTTTTTACTCAACATAATATCATACATAGTCAAGAATGAATAAAGTTATAGTATTATGTATAATTTGTAGATGATTAAGATGTTAAGTTGTGTTAGTATAGTTAAATTAGTATCTCAGCCACGTAATGTAGTAAGTGTGTGTGTGTGAGTGAGTGTATGTCGGTCAGACTGGGGTGGCGCTAGTGTGGTGAACGACGCCTCTCGTTCTAGACCTGGATTGCTATACTCTCTGGTGTAAATGTCGCTGTTACACTTGTAAATGGGTGTAAATAAGAGTGTGTTTTTTTTACATGCGCTTACTTGGAATTTTTGGTGATATATGTGTTGACAAGCCCAAAGTTTATGTTAAAGAAATACAGAAAGTAATACTGGAATGGTTTAGGTTTGTTAATATGGGTTATATTCCCCGTTAAAGGATTAATATATATTTGTGACAAGATAATTTACCCTAACTAGTGAAAGCAAAAGTGTAGAATTTATTGATAATTAATAAACCTTTGAAGATACATGTGAAAAATACACCAAATAATGTTAATTCCTCATAGAAAATCTCATAGAGGTTAAAATTGCATAAATTATAAAAAAAATAAAATAAAAATCGTATAAAATTATTATGGAAACAGATTGATATATAAAAAAAAAGTTGACGCAGCAAACGATAATGATAAACATAATATTTCCTCACTTGTAAGTAAGCAAGCAACACTGTAAGTAAGCAACACTGTAAGTAAGCAACACTGTAAGTAAGCAACACTAAGTAAGCAACACTGAATATACTACCTTAATCTGGTGAGAATAACAAAAACCATCACACACACACAGGTTAAGGAACGTAATCTTATTCATTTTATAAGTACATAGACGAATGTTCTTATCTTTTATACAGAAGTGTGTTTATGCTACAAATCCTTACAAGGAAGTTCAAAAGTGTCTTAGTACAGTCAATAGATCTTATAAAGGAATACTGTATGCAAATTAGGTGACTGGTGGTATCAGGGTCATAGGAAGAGGTATGTGGTCTTGGAACCCCCACGTATATACGAGTATAAGGTGGTGGTGTTAGGCTATACTGAGGGGCGATATAACCTTAAGAGTTAAAGATCCTTATACAGTTCAGTAACTCATACACTCATACATTCATACACGCATACACTCATACACTCATATACACATACACTCATACTCTCATGCACCCATACATTCATACAATCATAAACTCATCCACTCATACATTCATACACACATACACTCATACAAACATACACTCATACACACATACATTCATACACGCATACACTCATACACTCATACAAACATACACTCATACACTCATACACACACTCATAATCATATACACTCATATACTCATACATTCATACACTCATACACACATACACTCATAGAATCATACTTTCATTGATCATTACGTAAAAAAATAAATCGTTTTATTAGAGAAGAGGAAAGAGTTTATGTCCAATTGACACGTGTGATGGGGTGACTCGTTGACCTGAAAACGTACTTGTAATTTATATTGAAGTGAAAAAGACTTACATACACACACATACACGTACACAGATACACACACACGTACACAGATACATACGCATAGACACATAGTGCATCATACCTCCCCCCACCCCCCCCACACCCCCCCACCCCACACACACCACCCCCTACACTCCCACACACACACACAGGTAACATGACACTTATAACCCAGCTGACTTGTCCACCTGTTTTAATTACCAATGAACTTCAATTAGTCCCCATACTCACTAAGTCTTCCATCACTTCCTTCATTAACTACCAAATTGCCCCTTGTACTCACCTGTATTATTCCCTTCACGTAATGATTCTGTTTGGAGGGAGTAATAGTAGTGATGTTTGTCCGTTTGTCACTCTGTCAGTTTCGTAATTCGTTCAATTTTCGTTTCGAGTTTTTTTCCATTAACTCAACAAGTTAATTTCAGCTTTTGTGTGAGAGTATGATGAAGTGTGATGGAGTATGATGCTGTTTGAGTGTGTTTGATGGAGTATGGTGCAGTATTATACAGTATGGTGCAGTATTATGCAGTATGGTGCAGTATTATGCAGTATGGTACAGTATAACGCAGTATGGTGCAGTATGATGCAGTATGATGCAGTATTATGCAGTATGGTGCAGTATGATGCAATATGGTGCAGTATGATGCTGTTTGATGAAATATGATGCAATATGGTGCAGTATTATGCAGTATGGTGCAGTATTATGCAGTATGATGCAGTATTATGCAGTATGATGCAGTATTATGCAGTATTATGCAGTATGGTGCAGTATGATGCAATATGGTGCAGTATGATGCTGTTTGATGGAATATGATGCTGTATGATATAGAATGGTGCAGTATGATGTAGTATGGTAAAGTATGAGGCAATATGGTGCAGTTTGATGCAGTATGATGTAGTATAGTACTGTATGATGCAGTGAGTTCCAGTATGGTGCAATATGGTACCTTATTATTAGAGAGAGAGAGAGAGAGAGAGAGAGAGAGAGAGAGAGAGAGAGAGAGAGAGAGACTATTCCCAGTATCTTTCGTTAATGAGAAAGAATGTAACTTTATTCTTTCTTAAAACATCTAGAATAAACTTACCTGGGAAACACTTTTAATTACCAAGACACCTGAGCAAACCTTAATTAAGGAGTAAGAGACCAGGTATGTCTTTACTTATACACAGACAAAGTTAATTCTTGTCTTTAATTCAATACTGAGCCAATGTAAATTTGTTTGTCGATTTTACTGAACAAATATCTGTCTCTCTGTCTGTCTGGTTTGTTTTGATAATGAGATACTAGTGATTGAGACAGACAGACAGACAGAGAGCAGTGGGGATAGATAGATAGATAGATAGACTTATAGATAGATAGATAGATAGATAGATAGATAGATAGATAGTTAATAGAAATATATACGTTTAATCTATCAACAATTTAGTTTGTTCAGTACAAGTTTCTAATATGTAATAACCCACATTACATGTCATCACATTATGCTAAGTGTGTGTTTTATAGGCCTATTGACACGTTTAAGTTAGGCCTATGGGATGGTGGTGGTGGTGGTGGTTATGGTAGTGGTGGTGGTGGTGGTGGTGGAGAGGGGTGAAGGAAGAGTAGGTACACCCCCCCACCCCCACCCCCACCCACCCCCACCCCCCACCCCCACTTCAGGTGTATACATTGCACTTGTGGTGATGCCATTCCCAGAAGAGTATAAATAATAATAGTGATACGAGTACACACACACACACACACACACACACACACACACACACATACACACACACACACACACGCACACACACACACATATTTCATACTTGCAATCATACCTAAGTTAATAGAGTTATTATTCTTCCCTGTATTGATTGGCGTATCTTATGAAAACACCTGGCGTATTTAATTGATTTTAACACCTGGGGAAGAAATTGCTTTGTGTACCTTATTGATTCATACACTATCATACTCAGTGACACGTATTAAGTTATTTAGCCATTAAATAAAGTACCATGTCAGCTTCTCGATATACAGTCAAGAAAATTATTAAAGTTTATATATTTTTGAAAGATTATGAAAGTATTATTTTTACGGTTAATGATTTGATAAAGTTAACGTTTTTATTTTGTGAATAAGTTAATAAATCGTGTTGTCAAAGGTTAATTCATTTTTATATCGGTAACAAATAACAAAAAATTACCTCACACCATCAAGTGATTTAAATAACAAATTACTTCTAGATAATTGTTATTTTACTTAATATTTAGAGACAAACAAGTAATTAAGTAAACATCTTGACATCCAAAGTTATTTTTCTCAATATTATAACAAAAATTACTTTAATTTACACATATAATTACCTTAAATACCAATTAATCAAAGTTAATTTTAATATTTCTTTACATTTACAACCACATATATTTCTTAAACCACCCGAATAAATTAACCTAACCTAAAAATTAATTCAAGTTAGTTCTCAAATTATATAATATTAACACAGGTGTAAAATATTAAAACAAATTAATTAATATCTCAACAGGTACAAGTAAAGAGCGTTAACTAATCCTGTAGCAGAGAGGACTAGTGAGGAAATGAACTTAATAGCTTGCCAATAGTGAGGTCTGATTGGTAGTTTAACTGGCTAGTACCTCCCTAACGTTACTAGAATGTTACTAGGACTTTACTATGTTACTAGCGTGTTACTAGTATGTTATTAAGCCTTATCGTGGTTATGCTTTAAGTAAAATAAATTGGAAGGATAATCTTCAGGTGATAGCATCGGCAAAATCCACTGAGAGAGAGTAATCAACAATAGAAACACGTTTGGCTTCTCACTATAGTTAATTGTAATGCTGGTGGTGGACACAGGACCTGGCTGGCTGGGTGACTGGCTTAGTCTAGTCCCCCCCCCACCCTCCCCTACCTCCCTGACCAGTACATTTGGTTCTTTTCCTAGACTAGTGTGTGTGTGTGAGACTAAGGTGAACACTAATTACATGTTGAGGTTGAGACAGGTGTTCCGTACAGGTGTGCCCGTGTGAGTAAATTGAGGTGTTGGAGGGCAGGTGGAGGAGAGAGAGAGAGAGAGAGAGAGAGAGAGACAGACAGACAGACAGAGAGACAGACAGACAGACAGAAAGGGGAATCAAAACACAAAGTTCTCCCTCATTTGACAAACAATTACCCTCATTTACATACCAGCCAACTCATTTACATATTAATACATTAAAGACTTTGTGGACGAGATAGTATTGCTGTTCTATTATTAAAGGTGTATGAAAAGGCCGTGTCTGTCGGTATGTTTGTCTGCCTGGGAATGTTTACACCTATACTCACGTAGACACACACACACACACACACACACACACATACACACACACACACACACACACACACACACACACACACACACTTATCATTATCTTACTTCCTCTTAAACGTGTTGAAGAAAAACAATATTATCAATGTTTGTTGAGATAATTATTAACAAAATTAAATAAATTGGTAATGTTTAAATAATATCCTTAAAATAGAATATAAATGGAGGTATATTTAGACTTGATATATATTTAATCTATCCGTATTGTAAATGTCGTAGGAATCGCCAAAGTTATCGTAGCAAAGATTCTACCTAACCTAACCTAACCAAACCAAACCTAACCTAACCTAACCTAATTCGTCTAGGTAAGGGTGTCAATCAAGT